GTACTAGGTTTTGCTATGCATCGAAGTCAAAACATAGAGTATGTCTGGTAGTTCTGTTCAAGCTGTGAAACACGCCCCTCAGTACTATGAAGCATACTATAATACTATGCTTCAATTCAAAACATGACTTTGCTGTCAATTTACCTTTTCTTGTTTCCTCATTTTTCCCTGCATCGTAGATTAACCTTGCCCACTTTTTTGCTTTATTAGTTGGAAAACAGAAATTTGAGCAGATCTTCACTAGTTAACTCTGTGATTGCTTCATGGGTTTTTACTCTAGGATTCCTGGTAAAAGAACTTGTGAATAGTAAGGACTAATCCATCAATGCATCTCATTGAAGATTTGGTATGGAGTGGTTATTTTCTGTAATAATGACAAGTGTATTATCGATGGTGTCAAGTATCTACATCATGATTGCTGAGGCATCTGAGATTGATGGATCAAGTAGTTCAATTATGCCTTTGATATCAAGTGACCAAATCCTCCTCCTATCTTCCATTGTGACACATCAATGTGCGTATAGATCACATGAAGAGTAAAAAATAACATTGACATGATCTGCCTTGCTCTATTTTATGCTTCCCAATCATCCCCCCCAACTAATAGAAGATGTGAATTCATGCTAGCTCACTGATCACTATTGTTTATATATTGTCATTGGTTAATTGTGGAGAAAATTAACTACATACTTTTTTATCAAATTTTTGCAACTCCTTGGAGTGACAGCTACTTGATACTGGCCTTTTCCATGCTGACCCTCATCCTGGGAATTTGATCCGCACTCCAGATGGGAAGCTTGCCATACTTGATTTCGGTAACAATCTAGTTCATAAGTGTATATAGTGAAAGATCATCTGTGAACATGGTTGGCAACATCATATACATATTGTTATTTGAATTTGTTGCCTGAGAATTTGGATCCTTATTTTGTTTTATCAGTATAGGAATTTAAATTTCACCAGCAATTTTGGATTAGAATACGCCACTCTCCTTTCCTTTCCTTTCATAATGGTGGAATGCACTTAATCTGAATTGTTTTCTTCATTCATTCTTTAATAGTGGAAAGCAATTCAGTCTTCTCCCTCTCCAAATTTTTCTACCTTTTGGCTTCCAATTATAGAATTCTGGCATGATTCATTGTGAAACACTATAAAGATGCACCTCTCATAGTTAAACTGCACAAATTGCTTTGTTTCCGATTCCACATAACTATAAAAGCCCCAGCATCTACAGTAATCCATTCAGCTAGCAAACTCAATCTGCTTTTCTCAACCACATCTTAACATTTCATTGCCATGATAACCAAGATCAGTGATATTAAACAAAGAATGATGGATTTTATTTAGGTAGAATAGCGTAATCATATACTGGATAGCAATGGTATTTGTCTTGTTATTATGGGCTCAGTTCCTTTTATTCTCAATTTAGTTACCTTGGCCATTGAGAGCACTTAATATTTGATGATTTAAGAAGCAAAATGGGATCTTTCTTTTGCTAAATGAATGTAAGGTAATCACATTTAAGAACTGAGCTGGCATAATACAACCAAACTCCAACTTTGAAACTGGAGTCAGATTCAGGTGAATCAAATGACATACACTAGACTTTTAGTTTCTGGAAGTGATTGGTTTGAATGCGACAGATCAGAAAGGCATGTTTCCTTGAAATATTTCAGAGCCTTATGTACCATATTCTTTCATGCTATAAGAACATATCGCACGCGCACACACACACACATCGCACGCGCACACACACACACACTATATATATATATATTATGTGTTTCCTGTCTTAAGATCCCATAGTGTTCTCTTGACATTTTACTATCATGGGTTTCTTAACAAATGCTATACTGACCCATTTGCATTTTGCCTCATCATGGCCATTTTTGTGGAATCTAAAGTGCCTTTTGCTGGACAGGGCTAGTCACAAAATTAACTGATGATCAAAAATATGGAATGATCGAAGCAATTGCTCACCTTATCCATCGGGACTATGGAGCAATTGTCAAAGATTTTGTCAAACTTGGTTTCATTCCCGAGGGTGTTAATTTGGAACCTATCTTGCCAGTCCTGGCTAAGGTCTTTGATCAAGCACTTGAAGGTGGAGGAGCAAAAAACATAAACTTTCAGGAGCTAGCATCTGATCTGGCACAAATAACATTTGACTATCCATTTAGGATACCCCCTTATTTTGCTCTCATCATTAGGGCAATAGGTGTACTGGAAGGCATAGCACTAGTTGGGAATCCTGATTTTGCTATTGTAGATGAGGCCTATCCATATATTGCACAGGTATGTATTTTCTGTGGCTGTAAATGATAGTTTCCAGACAATTGTTTTCCATAATGTTGTGTTTGTTTTGATGCTGGGCACCTTGCTATTTTGGTATGCCAATCTGCCTGTCACTGTGGTTTTTGATAAAAGAATTTCAACTTGTTGGCTATATACCTCCGCTAAAATCATGGTTTGAAGCCTGTGTATAATGAAACTCAATGATAAGTATTTGTATTCCTTTAAGCTTGAAGCATGCGCTGCATGATCCACATAAAATAATGTCCATTCAATGTGTTATCATACTTTCTCTATGATGTTCTAAATTATAGGTCATTATGTTCTTACATGTACTTCTTTTACCAGAGGCTCCTCACTGATGAGTCCCCTCGTCTAAGGAATGCTTTACGCTACACAATTTATGGGAAATCTGGTGTTTTTGATGCTGAAAGATTCATTGATGTCATGCAAGCCTTTGAAAATTTCATCACTGCAGCAAAAAGTGGAGGTGGAGAGAGTATGAATGGGGATATGGCTGAACTTGGAATGCTGCAAAGCCAAACGGGTTATATCTTTCCTGGATTTCTCTCAAGTGCTTCTCAACCAACACAGCCAATTCAAACTAGGGCAGCCTTAGCATTCCTTCTTTCTGAGAAGGGGAACTTTTTCCGAGAATTTCTACTGGACGAGGTATTACAATTACTGATATTTTATCTTTACTAGAACTGTGAGTATTTGGAATAATGTTCTTAGTCATAGTCATGTACTCTCAGGTTTTTTGTATGTGGGGCATCTGAAATGTCTAACCATTATTTTCTGATGCAGATTGTAAAGAGCATTGATGCTGTTGCAAGGGAACAACTGGTACAAATTATGGCAATCCTTGGCGTGGGAAATGCTGCCCCAATTTTTAGCATGGTTCCTGCACCCTTTAAGCCCGCGGCACTTCTGCCAACGATAACTGAGGAGGACAAAGTTATCTTGAATAATGTTCAGAAAGTTGCTGAATTCTTAACTGCTGGAACTTCAATATCGAGTACATCAACCCAGGTACTTGAATCTTCATATGATGAGTCAGAATTTAACTATTCATTGACTAGGCTTGTCTGCGAGTTAAAAAGTTTCAAGTTTAAGTTTTGGTTTTATTTTTGTTAGTATAATGTCATCTTGTTTTGGATTCAGTATATTTTTAAGAATTAATGCATAGTGTTGGAGCATCCAGCATGAAAACTTACTACTAGGTGGAGAGTCTATGTACTATCGAAAGCCTTACCAACCCCAGTACATGATCCTTAACCCTCAACATGCAAACCAATAAAATGACCTCTAAACAGTGTCACTAGGCTCTGTTAGCAACTTTGGAGCTCTCAATTAAAAGCTCCAACCAAGTTTGAGTGGTCCATACGCCATAGAAAGGCACACCCATATACTCGACTTGTTGTGAGAGATTGCTAAACATTAAACACATTTCTGAACGGAAGGTTTTTATTTTCTAGGCATTATTTTTCTTCTATTAGTTTGTTTATGTGAAGTTATTTTTGCAAGCAACATTTACAAAAATGTTTAGGAGACATAACATCGTGGTGGTCTTAAAATTGCAAAAATGGTGTCAACAAAAGCTTTTGTAAAAATCCGATATTAGGCAATAGAATAATATGTTCAGCTCCATGCCTGAGAAGTTTAGTGTTGAATTTGGTTTGTGCTTGTGGTTGTTTTCCAATGAACTTGTACCTGATGTTTCTTTTCCCCTTTTTTGAGCATCAACAGGATTTAAATGTTACTCGGATTGTACAAGAACTCCTTCCAGTTCTGCCAGGTATCTCAGTCACAGTACTTCCTGAGGTGGTTAGTCGGCTTTCTTCTCGTATAGCAGCACGCATAATTCGAGATGCACTTTTGTAGCTGTAATAAATATACGGTATCCTTATGCTTAAAGCCTCCGAAATGTGCATAAATTGTATACGGAAGCCGCATTTAATGCGCCATGAACAATTTTTTTTACATTCAGGTAAAATTCAATATTACTGAAAATCTTCGGAAGCCTAATGGATACGATACAGCTTCTTCGTCAGGACATTCGGCTGACTTCATTGTACATAAAAAGGCCGGGCCGGGCCAGGCCAGTGATTCAAGAGCTTCTTTAGCCCTTCCCCTTCTTTTAATGAAACACGATTCAAAACCTTGATCTTGCTTTCTTTCTGGGCCGTTGTTGCACGGAATGGAATTCTCTCTTCGCAGTTTGCTATCCCCAAATAGCAGAGGAGGATGATAGCTTGGAGCATAATGAACCTAAAGGATATATTTATTGCCATACAAAGTAAAAGGCTCCAAAACCATAAAGCATCGACCATGCATGATGAATACTAGCAGGCCACGGAATGTGGATAGTAATAATATATTTATGGTATTGCTAAGAGGATAAAAATGAAAGAATAACGTTATGTCAAGTAGTTTTGTTTTTATATTATATAGTATTAAAAAAAAGGAAAAAAATAGTGCATCATGCATTTACTACAAGTGATTCGAAACAGACTTTCCCGCTAGAGTTCTGTTGCATAAGGAGCGAAGCTAATAGTTAACGAAGACAACAGACTATACAGAACACCAACCATTTATCTTTAGCCATCTGTCACCATTTTCCAGTTCAACATCACCCACATGTCAACTCAACCAATCCCCCCCCCCCCCCCAAAAAAACACTCA